TATTTTATACTGGTTTACTTAGAAAGTTCATATACATTGTTTTTTACACTGGATCTTTCCCATTTCCTTTACCCACTCCTCTCTCTATCCATCAAATTGTGTGACCCTATGATTCCCCCACCCCTCACCCCACCCATCCTCACCCCTCTGCTACCTCCCTATTCTCCTTGGATCCTCATACACATTCCACAATAATGGTCTTATGCAGTATTTGTCCTTATGGCACTGAGTTAGTTCACTTAGCATGGTGCTCTCCAGTCCCTCCCAAGTTAGGCAGGCATTTACAAAATCATTGGGTTATGGCAGAAAATGTGAGATTTAAACACTCAGTCAATGTTAGAGATTAACAAACCTTTTATTACATGCAGGTAAGAATTGTCAGCTATTTCCCAACCCGTTCTGACCCTGAGGAGAAGCAAAGATTGGGTTTATATACAAAAATTGGGATGGGGGTTACACAAATTTCATTGCGGTTGACAGTTGAGATTTCTTCAGGTTCGGAAGTCATTATTGTTTCTGACTTCTCCTGGATGTCCAAGCTCCACACCAGTTACAGGATGTATTCAGGGAGTGGTAACAAAGCTGGGCCAGCATGTACTAGGTAGGAAACATAAACCTTAGCAACACATATTATTGCCAGAATTATTAAGACATTAAAAGGCTGTCAGAAAAAAAATGGCTTCTCTACTGCTAACATATAAAATGTCTAATCTTCGTATATAAGCTTGTATTACAATTGTTCCTTCTTGTTGCATAGTATTCTATCGTGTGAATATACCATAATTTCTCAATTATTCAATTGTGGCTGGAAATTTGGGCTGTTAGTACAGACCTTTTTGTTCTTTTGGCAGCCCCTGGGATATTTGATCCTTTCCTTCAATGTACCATGATTAAAAAACATTGAGTCTTCTGTTATTCTTTATTCATTGTCCAAAATTTGATAAGAATTCTAGATTAACATAAAGTGAGGTTACATACCCAAAACTCTTATAATAATTTCATGCTGAGTCGACTGAAGCTTTCAGCAGTCATGAAATGAGTGTATAGCTACCTTGTCCAGTTTGATAGCCACTGAACACATGACCTCTGGTGATGTAGTCCACACGGAATTGTCCGGTACCCAAAGGGTGGCACTTCTCTAGGAGTTCAGATCCACCACTAAACTCATTGTTGCCGATCGCATCCAAGAAAACCACACGGGACAGCTGTACTCCTCAGTACATGGTGTTGACATGAGTCAGAATCATGTTGACCCAACAGACTGAATTTATTTACTGTTTTCCCAATTTTTAAAAAAAATAGACACTGTATCAGTTTGACTTCTAATAGATCAGAGGACTTCCAAGAGGCAATGATTATAAGAAATTAAAATCCTCACATTAAATTGGTGACTGGAGGGAGAGTCAGAGTAACACCACCACCCAATTTCTTTGACATTTCTTTCCGAAGAGTTTCGTTTGTCTCCATGTACCCTTTTGCAAAGATTGCCTTGTCCGCCTCGCCACAGAGAGACTCTACTACATAACACAATCATGATAGTTGCAAGAAATTACTATTTCACCCACTGAGTGAATAATATGAGACTGGTTACCGTAGCACCTAGTGGTGCAGAGAGGAACAAGGAAAAATTTGGTTATGTTTTGAAAAAGAAAAATGCTAGACAAAATAGTGCTTTGCATACACAGAATGTGTTTCATCTGAGCAGCTCAACATACTCACCAAGCTTAATTATTGAGTAAACCTCTAAGAAAGAGAAGAGATGAAATAAAGATCTGCTGGGCCAGATACCAGTGCTCTGAGCCTGTCAGTTTTAAAAGTCAAGCATGGTGGGATCCTCTGCCAATATTCATCTTTGTACTGAGAGGTTTCTCTTGAAGCACCCCACTTTATGAGGGAGAGCAACCATGCAAAGTCCTGCCCCCTGACTTCATTGATGGCCTTCCCTGTATTTGCAGTGGAGATCCATGCCTATCATCATCGTGCAGCAAACCTCTGATAACGGAGTCGGCACTGTCCCAGCAAAAACGTGTTTGTTGTAGAGTGAGACGAGTTATCATCTTTATAAAAAATTATTCAAAACAAACATCCACGAATCTAGGTCTAACAGGAATGGAAAGAGGACAGGCAAGGCCCCTTAACGGGTGCCCTACTGTGTAATCTTCCTTTCATCTTAATTCAAAACCCCATAGAGATTCAAGCTGTCTTTTGCAAAAATCTAAATTCTTCTAATTATTTATGTGTAGGGCATGTGGTTTTTGCCGAGTCAAAAAAGAAATGCAATAATCTTTCCTGACATTTATTTTCATCTTTGGTGGCATGAGAATAAATGTTATGCATTTCTGTTGTTACGTTCTATACCTTCAGTTGCTTCTTGTTGTTATTTTTTTTTTCTCCCCTCCCTAAAGTCTTTTCTGCTCCTCTCTACTCTAAAAAAAAAAGAGAAAGAGAGAATAGAATACATAAAATACATAAATAAAAGAGGAAAGGAAAAAAATGTTCTGCCAAAAGAGAAAATTCCTTGAAAATCATGACTTCTAACAATTTTTACAAAGGGTTTGATGTCTTGTAAAATATTCCTAGCTACCATGTGCAAACAAAGCTGTTTGGGTTTGGAGAGAATATACTGAGGGATTTTGTTGTTCCTTTTGTTGTGTACCAGTGAGTCAGAACCAAACTATAGCTAACCTTCCAAGTAGGTTTTCAGAGGCAGTAAATCAGACAAGAGGAGATTGCTTATCGTTTTCTGGCAGAGCAACCCGTGGATTTGAACTGTGTGCCTTTCAGATTGCGGCAAAGCTTCTTGCCGTTGTTTTTTTATTTTATATCCAGGCCTTGGCTGCTCCTTGGAGGCAAGGATTCTGGGGCTTCGCCTGACATACTTTGGACATGTTGTAAGGAGGGACAGGTCTTTGGAGAGGGACATCTTGCTGGGTAGAGTAGAGGGACAGCGCAGGAGGGGAAGACCCTCTATGAGGTGGATTGATTCAGTGACTGGGGTAATCGGGATGGGTGTGTCAGAGGCAATGAGATTGGCACAGGATAGAGCAGGGTTTAGGGCTGTTGTACATAGGGTCGCTATGGGTCACAAACGACTGGACGGCACATAACAACAGCAAACAACAATATCCAGGCCAGATCTTTTGCTTCTAGTCCATATTGCTCTCATATTCACTGAATCTGGGACTTCAGGTGTATTCTTTTTCTTTAGTAGCAGCTGTACCCACCTGAGCCAGTATCATCTTCATTCTTTCGCTCGGTACCTCGTGCCCCTTGTTTGCCTGGTGATGTAAGGTCACACCCTATCCTCATTAGTACTGAAAACCTCCTAAAACCCTCAGGATCACCAGTGTCCAATAACATGCCACAGTGACCTTTACATTTTAACACATAGCTGGGAATTTAGAAGAGCTGATCTAACACTTTCAAGATTAAATGTCAAATTCTCAAAATTCAGATGGCTCTGGAATCCACCTAAGTATATTTTTCTACTCTCTTTCCCAGTAGTCTATACATTGGCACTGATTAGCAGTAGCATTTTGTAATATCACTTAAGGCTCTAGAGCTGTGGAGTTCTGCCAGTAATGGTGTTTAATTCACTTATATGTGCCAATTCATCTCTGTCAGGAGCCTATTAATTTCTTCACTCTTTTACTCTGTCCGTAGCCCCTGTGTAATGAGACACAATGATCCCCATTTGTGTAACCAAAAAACTTAAAAGTCTCTTATAAATTACCACCGATCCCACTGCTTTTAGTAACCAGAAGGCCTCTGTATTTCTTTTTCATATTTAAATCAATTTTTGCAAGTTCTTTTCTTTAAAAGATTACACAGGGACTTCAAGGACCCCAAATAGTGAAATCAAAGGAAAAATATAAAAAAAAATCTGATGGATTCTTCAACACACATCCCTACCCAATGGGAGATTTTCTTACAATCACACCAAAGACATACTGTTCACACAAATATATTCCATTTACAGAGAACGTTAATGAAAATCAGCCTGTATTTCAGCAGTCAGCCCAGCTATCAGTAGGCAAAATATCAAAACACCTATTGTTTCACTATAAAGATCCTGTGGCAAAGGTTAGAGATCTAAAATGACTCCATAGACTATGCCATTGCCTTTCGGAATGAAGTGATCTTGAATAAACTGGAAAGCGACAACTCAGGTTGTTTAGGAAGAGCTACATCTATTTAGGAGACTGTTGCAGTACATTGCTGTTGTTGTTGTTGTGCTTTCGAGTCACTTGTGACTCATAACAACCCTATGTACAAGGGCCCTAAATCCTTCTCAATCCTGTGCCAACCTCACTGTCTCTGATACACTCACTCCCACCACCCCACTCACAGAATCGATTCATCTCATCGAGGGTCTTCCTCTCCTGTGCTCTCCCTCCACTCTCCCAAACATGATGTCCCTCTCCAAGGACCAGTCCCTCCTTGCAACATGTCCAAAGTATGTCTTATGAAGCTTCAGAATCCTTGTCTCCAAGGGGCATTCTGGCTTCACCCTCTCCAGGACAAACCTGTTTGCTCTCCTAGGAGTCCATGATATATTCAACACTCTTCTCCAGCACCACAGCTCAAAGGCATCAATTCTCTTTCTATCATCCCTATTCACTGTCCGACTCTCCAATGCATAGCATGCAATTGCAAAAACTGTAGCCCAGATCAGGTGCACCTTAGTCTCCAGCCTGAAGTCATTGCTCTTCAGTACTCTGGAGAGGTCTCTGACAGCTTAATTTCCCAATGCAATTCATCTCTTGATTTCCTGGCTGCTGGCACCAAGAGTGTTGACTATGGAGCCAAATAAACTAAAGCTGTTAACTATCTCAGTCTCTTCACCATCCATGCTGATGCTGCCAATTGG